GTGAGACAAAAGCCTTCCCTGCCAGAGTCGGGATCAGGCCCAGGTCCCAGAGGGTTCCAGGACAACCAAAGCCAGGCAGCCTCTGCCCACCCAGGTCAGTGTCTCCCAGGCAGTTCTTGGGGGTATTCAGGTCCAGTCAGCACTGGCTGTTGTGCTGACCCTCAGACAGGCGGCTTTCTGCAGGACCTGCTACATGGCTGCCATCTCAAGAGGGAGGTCCTGGATCTGGTGTTGGGTGTGGAGAGGCCACTGGCCCAGCTTTTCCCTCCCACTCTGCCTCCCCCAAAGCAAGCGCGGTGTGTGGCCTGCCAGCTTCAGGACCCATTGTCTCCTGCCCATAACCTGGTGAGGTGGGAACTGTTACTGTCCCCACTTTATCACAGCTGGAAAGCTTGGGTAACTTACTCTGCGCCATAAAGCTGGGCATGGGTAGAGGAAGATCGTTTACTCGGGCCTGCCTGATGTCAGAGACCTGCTTGTGCTCACTGGTACCCACCAGATCAGCCCAAGAACGTAGTGGCCACTCCCGAGAGAATTTGGGACTGGGTCCCATTACCTTTCAGGCTACTTTGCAAATGCCCACTTACCCTGTGGGGTTGACCAGTTGTTCTCAAACCTGCCTGAGCCTCAGAATCAGCTGGATGGTACATTTTAAAACAGAAGGCTGAAGAAAAAAAAAAAACAGAAGGCTGAAAAAATAAATAAATAAATAAAATTTAAAAAAAAAACAGAAGGCTGCCCTGTGCCCCAGCATTCCCGACTCGGGGAGTCTGGGTCGTGGGGTCTGGGAACATGCATTCCTAACAAGTTCCCAGGTTATACTGCCGTCCCCAACCACTACTCTTTGACAACCACTGGGGAGCACCAGTCCTGCTCAACAGAAAATACGCCAACATGTTAACCTGTCAGGGCCTGCAGAATATTTGGAGAACTAACTCTAGGTTGTACTATCCTTTGAGTTTTGAAATAATTGTTTAAATGTTTACTGAGGTCTATTTGATTTATAACGTGTTAATTACTGCTGCACAGCAGAGTGCCTCAGTCATACACATGTATACATTCTTTTCCACTGTTGTTATCACGGGATGGTGAATATAGTTCCCTCTGCCATACAGTAGCACCTCGTTGTTTATCCATCCTATATGTACCAGTTTTATACATCTGTATGTATCATGTGTAATATATGTATAAATCGCGTCTATACATCAGCTTATCCCTCCTGTACATGCCAAGCCCTCGGTGCTTCCCTCCCCCCCCTCAGCGGCCATCCGTCCATTCTCCGTGTCCCTGTTTCTGCTTCCTCAGTTCAGTTCAGTCACTCAATTGCGTCTGACTCTTTGTGACCCCATGGACACCTGTTTTCATAGATAAGTTCATTGGTATCCTATTTTAGATGCCACATATAAGTGATATGGTATTTGTCTTTCTGATTTGCTTCACTTAATATGATAATCTCTAGTTGCATCCACGTTGCTGTAAATGGCATTATTTTGTTCTTTTTTATGGCTAATATTCCATTTTACACACACACACACACACACACACACCCATATCATCTTTATCCATTCATCTGTTCCTTCCATCTCTTGGCTATTGTAAACAGTACTGCTATGAACATCGGGGTTCATGTATCTTTGTGAATTGTAGTTTTGTCCAGATATATATATGCCCAATATGATTGCTGAATCATATGGTAATTCTGCTTTTAGGTTTCTGAGGAATCCCCATACTGTTTTCCACTGTGGCTGCACCAACTTGCATTCCCACCATTTATGTAGGAGAGTTCCCTTTTCTCCACACACTCACCAGCATTTACTATTTGTAAACTTTTTGATGATGGCCATGCTGACTGGTGTAAGGTACCTTCAGTTTGTAGGAAATAAGTGACAGGAATCAAAGGGTACCTCAAGCACCTCCAATTTCTTTTTAAAAAATTATGTATCTATTATACTCGGTGGGCATTCTCTAGTTGTGGAGAAGGGGGGCTGCTCAGTTGCAGTACACGGGCTGCTCCTCGTGGCGGCTTCTCTTGTTACGGAGCACAGGCTCTGGGTTTACGGGCTTCAGCAGCGGCAGCATGTGGGCCCAGGAGTTGCGGCACGTGGGCTTAGTTGCTCTGCGGCATGTGCCATCCTCCCAGACCAGGAGTTGAACCTGTGTCCCCTGCATTGGCAGGATGACTCCCATCTATTGTACCACCAGGGAAGCCCAAGTGTGTTACATTTCTGAAGAAGTATTTCAAAGAAAACATGAAAAAAGGCCACCCAGGTATTAGTTTATCTCTGTGTTTTCTGTATGTTTAAAATTTTCCAGTGACTTTTTAATGAAAAGAGCTGTAAAGTGAACCTCTGGCAGTGAGTCTTATATTCATGGGAGAGGATTTTCCTGCCTGAAGCCTTCTCCCCACTCACTGGGAAAAAAATGTTGCTATTTCCCAGCACCGTGCTGTCTAAACATGCCATGTCTGGGAGGGCATCTCCTCACTCAGTCACGTGGAAAGCGCTGTGAGCACTGCCACCACTTCAGTTCACTCTAATTTTGCTCAGCGTGTGGAAGCTTAGGCCGTAGGCATCTATCCTCCACACTGTGTTGACAGTCCGTGCAGGCGAGCTCTGAGCCCTCCTGGGTGGTTTTGTGTGAGGCATGCCTGTCACTGAGCTCTACGGAAGAAGGCTGAGGTGCTGAGGGAGGGACCCTCTCTCTCTTCAGGACGAGTCACTCTTGGACAGCCGTCATCCGCAGACGCCCCACTGGCTCCCCGCGCCCTCTGCTGACGATGCCGGTTGCTCTTTCATGCTTCCCTTGCGCTGCTTTGTTTATGACGTCGCACCTGCAGCGTTCCAACTGGAGGGCGTTGCTGCTTGTCCCGTCTCATCCTTTTTAAAATACAGCTTGAGAATACATAGCACTGATCGATGAATAATTTTTAACCTCCTTCCTGTCTTCTCAGCTTCCACCTTCTCTCCAGAGCTTGTCACAATAGCCCCCAAAAGGGTTCCTTTCTCTGACCTTGCCTCCCTGCATCCCTCAGTACAGCAGACAGAGGGAGCCTGTTAAAATGTAAGGTGAATCCTGTCACTCCTCTAGTATAGACCCTCCAGGGGCTTCTAAATCTAATTCTAGAGAGAAAACAATCTATGAGGCCCTATGAGACCTGGCATTCTGCCCCACATTCTCTGACCAGCTCTCCCCCTTCACCCCCGGTGGACACGTGTAAGTAACCGTCACCACCTCTGAAGAGGTGTTGTGTGTTGGTCAGACTGATCTAGCTCTGTCCTGATGGACTCAGGGGTGGTGGGGGGCCTCAGAGAGTCTGTGGTGATCGGGATCTTTTATGCTGGCCAGAGTTCTCTGACTTGAAGACCACCAGAGCCCTGGGGAGTCCTCTTCCTCATGTGTGTGGACTACCATCCCTTCCACCCTTCCCTCCCTGGAAGCCTCAACTTCTTGATAATGTGTCACAGACAAGAATGGGACGTTCTTGTCACATCGAGATTGTGAGGAGATTGCACCTGCTGGCTGGGGGCCTGTTACCCCTGTTGCTGTGAGGTGAGGAGGGCAGGTCTGGGCTCAGGGCAGTGAAACAGCTGGTGGATACCAGTCCCTGCTCCTTGCTCAGCACCTCACAATGGAAATCTTGGGGAGACAGGGCTGTGGAATGAGGCGACGTCAGCCTAGGCCCAGATACACCGGATTCCAGCCACGAAATGTCTCACAACCTCCACTTCCAGGTTGGTAACAGCAGAGATGATGGTGCCAGACTGGCCTGTTTGATGAGAGCTAAATAGGCCCCTTGCTTGTTTATCTGCCATCTTTCCAAAGCCAGTTCCATGCGGGCTGTGTCAAGTGCAGGGGCGTCCAGAGAAACTGCTGTAGGTCTTGAGATCCAGGCTGCAGTTTTCCTGTCGTGCTCACCCTGCCGTGGGACTCTAGAACCCACAGAGACATTCATGGCCTGTCACATTCCCGGGGTTCAGGCCAGGTGCTCCTTAGAACTGCCAGCCCTGGCTTAGCATTCCCACAGCGTGGGTGGCCAAGGGCCCCTCGGACCAGCATGTGTCCCTGTGAAGGATTTATGTTCATCCAAGATGGGAGAGGAACAGCCGTGGAGGCCTGGGGGCACCCTGCTTTCTAATGTGGCAATACTACAGAAGGTTCCCCCCACTGCCCTTCTTTCCAGCTCCCACCCCCTGGGGCGGCTGTCAGCGGTCTGGGGCGTGCATGCACAGTGCGTGTGTGTGCGCGCACACACAGAGTCTGTAGGTCACACTGTAGATACTTTGTTCTTCACCTGCTCTGTTCCTTTAACGCATCCCTTTTGTTAAGTCTTGTCCATCAGCACACCTGTTTTGTTTCGTTTTTTAATTTAAACTTTTTATTTTGTATTGGGGTATAGCTGATAAATAATATTATGATAGTTTCAGGTGGACAGCGAAGGGACTCAGTCATACATATACATGTATCTATTCTCCCCCAAACTCCCCTCCCATCCAGGCTGCCACATAACACTGAGCAGAGTTCCCTGTGCTATACAGTAGGTCCTTGTTGGTTATCCATTTTTAATATAGCAGTGTGTACAACTATTTTTATGACATTTTTCATCCTATTTCCTCAAACTCTCTCCACCATTGTCATAATTATTTCCATAATGTCTACGTAATTTTCTTTGTTTTGATGTATACTATAATTCACTAAACCTTATATTCCACAAAACATCTTGGTGTACCTTTTTACTTCTGTGGAATTATTTCCTTAGAATTAATTTCTAGAGTCCACATGTTGTCTTAAAGGGTATAAACATTTCCAATATTCTTCACGTATTTCTTTCCCAAAAGGTGATGTCAGTGTACAGTGCTAGGAAGAATGCTTTTTTGTTGTTGATGTTTTGGCGTTACCAGCTGGGTACTATTGGGGGAGGAGGGCATGGAGGAGAATGAGGAGGGAAAGCGCTGTTAGCAGCGACTGGAGATGCAGTGAGTTGGCTTGTTTTGTCTTCCCAGCACGACCAGCTCCACAGCCAGCAGCTGTGACACGGAGTTCACTAAAGAAGACGAGCAACGGCTCAAAGACTACATCCAGCAGCTCAGGAACGACAGGGCGGCGGTCAAGCTGACCATGCTGGAGCTGGAGAGCGTCCACATCGACCCGCTCAGCTACGACGTCAAGCCGCGGGGGGACAGCCAGCGGCTAGACCTGGAAAACGCAGTGCTGATGCAGGAGCTCATGGCCATGAAGGTACCCGTGTTGGGGGCGGGGGTGCTCTTCTCACACCCTCATCCCCTGCACTCCGCGTCACCAGGAGGAAACATAAAAAGGCCTCTCGAAAGCTGGTCAGCCATCCATGTTCAGTTGCCTCTCCACAGGAGGACGGCCAGAACCTTGTGTGTAGACAGGAGTGGTTTCAGTATGTCTCAGGGTCCCTTGGGCTGGACGTGCTCCTAGAGAGGTGCACCGAGCACTGGCAAAGTTTTGGGGGTCCCAGGCCAGAATGGAGCACCCCGTCTCCAGGAGAAGCCAGAGGAGGCCTCTGTAGGCTGAGGAGGCCTCTGTAAGCTGAAGCGGCCTCTGTAGGCTGAAGCAGCCTCTGTTCGGTCTCCAGAGTGCTTGCAGGTGCTTCCCAGGTTGACGCTGATGTTCAGGTGAGCTGGGGAGAACAGGGCCAGGCCAGGGCAGCATTTGGACAGGAGCCCTGGTTTCCTGACCCCCTGGTCCCTTTGGTGCCACGTGGAGCATCAACAACCATCATCCCCATCACACCCTGGTGACTCGCTCAGCACAGCCGTCCCTTCCGTGGCCACTCAAGCCGGAGTCAGGGGAAGCCTGGGGGCCAGGACAGCAGATACTGGTCCTCCTGCTCAGACCTGGCCTCACTCCCCCTGGGGAATCCTCATGCGACATTGGCTGACTTCCCCTCTCACTGCCCATGAGCTGGGAGTCGTGTCCTTCACCATGGGGCCTTCCCCCTCTCTGTGGGGCTCGGCACCCTGCAGAATCAGCTCTGAAGCTGCCCTTCTATGATTTCTTCCAAATGTCACATATCCTTTGGCTGAAGACTACAGATTTCCTTCTTATATTCAGGCCAGTGTGTTGTGTGATAAATTCAGTGCTGTTTTGGCCAGGAAATAGCTTTCTGGTGAAATAAAAAGTCTAATATTCCCTTTGATGCTTGTGAATAAAGTATGTACACACTGTACAAATTTTATTTTTAAAAAATAGAAATTATAAAAAGCTGGGAGAGAATTAACCCATCAGATCATAACTCAGGGACAGCCACTGGGTCCCCTCCTGAGGGCTGCCCTCCCTGTGTGTCCCTCCAGTGTGCTCAGGGGTGTGTGATCGCCCATCGAATCCAGAGGCCGCAGAGTCACCCTTTTGTTCTAAGCTGCAGCTGCTGAAAAACTCAAGTTTTCTGGTTGTTTTCACTTGTGCTTGGTGTTCAGTAAACATTATTGATCTCTAGACGGACGTGGCTCCTCAGATCTGCTCTTCTGCTAAACAGCCCATCCTCTCATCATCAGTCCTCTTCCTTTTTCTCTCCAACTGTTTTAAATATTTATTTTCTATGTTTTCCCTTGTTAATTCTGGTTCTTTAAATGCAGATTCTGGTCCTTTAAATGCCTCACCCTGACTCACTTCCATTTTCTCTATGTGTGCGTGTGTGTGTGTGTGTGTGTGTGTGTGAACAGCCTCTGTTCTGTCTCCAGAGTGCTTGCAGGTGCTTCCCAGGTTGACGCTGATGTTCAGGTGAGCCGGGGAGAACAGGGCCAGGCCAGGGCAGCATTTGGACAGGAGCCCTGGTTTCCTGACCCCCTGGTCCCTTTGGGCACCAACACTCATCATCCCCATCACACCCCGGGTGCCAGTTCACCCTCGGTGGAGATCTTGTCTTCTCGGTGGTCCTGGGCCATCCTAGGTGGAGATATCCCTGTAAATGCTTGCAGCCTTGACCTGTTCGGACCTGTCGGTTTCAGAGGTTTAGGGCTGGTCTTTGTTATACTCTCAGCTGAGAGCTCCTGTTGCCCATTCATAATCCCTCAGGTTTGTCATCTGATTTCTCAGAGGAGGCTTTTCTTCTCTTTTCCCCCGAAACCTGAGTGAGGACACCTCTGTCCTGGCCACGTCTCCCGGTAGGCGGTCTTCTAGTCTCCTCTACGAGGTAGTGCTCCTGCCACGCTCTCAGGCCTGGCTGTCCGCCCTGCCTTTGTGCAGGTGCTGAAAGCCCAGCACCTGGGCCCGCTGCACATCCGAGGCCGCAGGGGCCGGCACTGTGACTGCCTCATCTTTCCTCTTGGGCAGAACACCCGCTTCATCTCTGGCACCTATGCATTCATCTCTCCTTCTCTCAAGCTTGCATCTGTGTGTTGTTCTGGGTGTGACTGTCCACATTAGTTCAGGACACAGTGTTTGTTGCCAGCACCTTAAGAATCCTGTTTCTGGTGGCAAGAGATGAGACAGTTCAGTGTGTGGAAACACCTTTCATCCTGGTTTTATGTCATCATCAGGAAAGGTTTGCATCTTCTTCTGAGCAGTTGCTCGGCACAGTGCCTTCTCTGTGGCTAATGCCCACGTCCCAGAGTGTAACTAGCCAGGGTGGGTGCCCTCCCGGTGTTCCCCACATTGGAGCTGAGAACATCCCCTCCCGGGTCTGGCTTACCCAGGAGACCACAGCAGGCCTGTGGCTTGCTGCCTCAGAGGAGGGTCACTTTGGGGGTGTCGGCAGTCAGTGACTTGGTGAATCCCTCTCGAGGGGTTCAGTGTATGAAGTGACTGAGCATATGAGGAATCCTTTTAAGTAGGATCACAGAAAGAGCTGGGGAGACTGACCCCATGGGGTCATGGGGTGGTGGACTCGCCCCCCAGCAGAGGCAAAGCCCAAGGTCATGTATGGGCTCACCTCGAAAGGGGGACTGTAGCTTGGTGCTTACCTGGCCTCTGAGCTGGAGGTCGTGGGTTCAAACTCAGGCTCCATAATTTATTCAGCATGTGGGCTGAAGAAGCCGTGGGCTCTGCTCACCTCAGTGTCCCATCCATGAATGGAGATATTCATAGTACCTACCTCAGGGTGAGAGGACTTAATGAGCTGCTTAGTATAACCATTTAAAGCAGTGTTACCTGCTCAGTAAATGCTAGTGCTTCTCACTGTTACCTGGTCCAAGGGAGCACTGTCCTATTTTAGGGTCACTTCTTACTCTTCACAGCAAACTCTCCTTAGACTTCTCCAAGATACTTTAAGAAGTGACCTGATGAATAGCCACTTGATAAGGGCTCTGTTTCGATGGATTTTATTTGGGTCCTGAAGTTGATAGGACCTGGGGCCATTGTCACTGCCGTGGGTGCTTCTGAGCTGCCCAGCATGGCTGCAGGACCCAACTGCCATGAGGGCGATGATATCCATGGATTAATGTCATGAAAATGGGAAGGGAAATGGAATATAGAAGGGACCTAGTCAGATGCTTCAACCTCTTTGACGCGGGTTAGCCTCTGCCTGCCAGAAAACTGGTCTCCAGCAAGGCGAGTATGACCACTGAGGAAGTGGAGGTGAAATATCCTGGTTGTTAGGAAGATGTTCCTTATTGTGCCGAAGCCTGCAGGCCTGTCCCTTCTACCCATTGATCTCGGTTCCGGGGCACAGTGGCAAGCCCATGGTGTGGTGCCACAGTCAGTACTGCGGGTGTGTGGAGACAGCCGTCTGGTGCCCCCCCAGCAGCTGCCAAGTGACACCTCCGCAGGGCCTCGCGGGGCGGCCGGGGGCCCTGCTGCCGCCCCACCAGCCCCTCGTACACTCTGCGCCCTGCAGGAGGAGATGGCCGAGCTGAAGGCCCAGCTCTACCTCCTGGAGAAGGAGAAGAAGGCCCTGGAGCTGAAGCTGAGCACGCGAGAAGCCCAGGAACAGGCCTACCTGGTCCACATCGAGCACCTGAAGTCGGAGGTGGAGGAGCAGAAGGAGCAGCGCACACGGTCCCTGAGCTCCACCAGCAGCGGCGGCAAGGACGCAGCCGGCAAGGTAGGGGCGGGCCAGCTCAGGCTCCCCTCCCACACAGCCTGAGGCCGGCCAGGTAGGGGCGGGCCAGCTCAGCCTCCCCTCCACAGAGCCTGAGGCCCGCAAGGTAGGGGCGGGCCAGCTCAGCATCCCCTCTGCAGAGGCTGAGGCCGGCCAGGTAGGGGCGGGCCAGCTCAGCCTCCCCTCTGCAGAGCCTGAGGCCGGCAAGGCAGGGGCGGGCCAGCTCAGCCTCCCCTCTGCAGAGCCTGAGGCCGGCCAGGTAGGGGCGGGCCAGCTCAGCCTCCCCTCCGCAGAGCCTCACTCTCAGAGCCCTCAGCTTCCTTATTTGCAGAGCAACTGCAGCCATTCTGGAGATCTGAAAGACAGTGTCATTTTGAGTGCAAAGAAACCAAGTCCACATTTTTTCAAACCTCACTTTTTGTAGCAGGTAAAGCATCCCATAGATCATGGTCTCATCCAGGGAGTGGCCTGTGCAGTGGACCAGGACGCGGGTACTCACCCCACCTCCTCCCCCTGGCCCATGTGATCATGGGTGTTGATCACGTGGTACTGATCACCACACAGGTCATCTCCCCTAAGAGTTATCCCCATTTACATCAGAAAAAAGAGGTTTAAAAGAATGGGGGGGGGGTGTCTCACAGTTGGTAAATGGCAGAATCAGGATTTAACCCCAGTCTGGCTGACTCTGGTCCCCCTCCTCTCCTGTGTTTCCTCCTCAACTTCCTTAAGGTGGAAGGCAGGAGGTGGCCTGAGGCAGAGGAGGAGGAGGGTGAGCCCTGAGTTACCCCAAGGAGCACAGAGTGTGGGCTGCCGGTGGCATCATCTTGCAGACTCACACTTTCATTAACCCTCAAGACTTTTTTTCTAGAATTCAAGCTCATTCCGTCATCCTCTATTGCAGAATAATTCCAAATACTGCATTGGAGAAAAAAAATAGTCTAGACCCTAAAGAAAAATATCCCACATCGCAGGGTGCTATAATTCTGTGCGTGCGATTTTCTGTTGCTGATGAATGCCAGCTTCTCCTGACCCGTTTATCTGTGGCCCAGGACTGTGGGCATACAGTGACTTGCTGGTCTAGTGAGTGGCCCCTCATGGCCCAGGTGCAGAGGTGTCTTCACCAGAGGAGTGTCCCTGAGAAGAAAGCCCCTTGCTGATGCTCTGTGGCAAGGAATGGGTCCCCTAAACAGCTAAGAACTGTGCTGCCTGCTCCAGAGGCCAGAGCCGCCCTCTGCCCACTCTCACCTACAAGGCTGCCCAGGGAGCTGGGGCCCCAGCACCCAGCGAGGCTGCTCTCCCAAGGCCCTGCTGCTCCTCAGTCATCCATTCCTGTGATGGGTGTGATCTGGTCCAGGCAAGATGCTGGAGGCAGTTCCAGGAGTTTAGCTTCCAGTGGGGGACACTGATGGGCAAATAGATGATCACAACACAGGACACAACATCCAGAGTACAAAGATGGATGTCCGGTGCAAGGGGAGGCCACAGGCCAGACCCACGATCCAGATTTGGAGGTTAGGCGCAGGTTTCCTGAACGCAGACCCAGTGGAGAGTGGGTGCAAGCCCGATGAAGAGGCCAGGAAGGACGCGGAAGTGTGCCCTGGGCCGATGGAGCAGCGCAGGCCAAGCCCAGGGGGAGGAGGGGTCAGTGTTGGCTGGAGAGCCCCACCAGCTACCTGTCCTGAGCACAGGGAAGGATCGCAGCGGGGCTTTTGCAGGGAGTGACATGACACAGTCTGAGCTTTGGAAGGTCACCATGTGGGTGCGCATGCCGGTGCCTGGGGGTCTGACCACGGGCCGGGCAGCACTGCTTCTTCGCCCGGGAGGATCCGGGCTCCCAGACGTGGCTTGTCTGTCCTGTGGCAGCGGCTTCAGAACCTGCGCTCAGCCTTTGAGCTTGTGAGCCGTCACTGTGGGACAGAGCTCCTGTGTTTGCCTGGGTGCTCTTAGGGTGGGCTGGAAGTGGACTTACCAAGCTCTTAGGAGGCCCATGAGCTGAGCTTTTCCCCCTAGTTCTTAGTATTTATTTTGACTGGGGGAAGCACTGTATTTTGTGGAATGGCTCCAAAAAACAGAAATCTCTTTGATGGAGAAGACCAGATGATTTATTTTTATTTTTTTACATTAGAGAACAGAGCTTTTATAAAAGTACCCTGTGTTGTTCAGGTAATGAAATTAGAATAAGCTGATTATTTTGTCTTTCAAAAATTAGATCCATTTACTCTATGAATAATATCTCCCTTCTGGGCTATTCATTTGGTCTTATCTGTTGGTAGATGAGGCAAGCAGTCTGGAGCAGACGCTGGTGCCAGATAGTCAATATTTTAGGATTTTGGGGTCATACAGACTCAGCTGCACCTATGTAACTCTGCCATTGCAAAACTGTCTCTTCCTTACTGTGAAGGAAGTGACAACACAGACACAGAGGCACATGGCTAGGTTAACAATGCTTCATTTATAGACATTGAAATTTAAATTTCATATGATTCCTACATATCATAAAATAGTCCTTTGATTTCTTTCCCTTGATTTTAAAAATAGAAACACAATTCTTACTCTGTGGACAAGCTTTTTCTTCTGGAGCCTGGGTTGTAGTAAATCCTCAGGGAATGTCTGCTGAGCAGATTATCAGATGAGCGCTGTCCGCCTCTGCTTATTCCACAGCAGAGCAGCTGCCCTCCGTCTGTATGCAGACAGCGGGCAAGTGGGTACAGCTGTGGTGTTATGAATGGACTGTGCTTCATGCCAGATTTAGGCCTTTTCTGAAGGCTCTTATGTGTCCTCATCTGTAAAACGGGAGGCGTTGGTTTAGGTGATGTCAAAGTTCCTGTCTGATGCCAAGATGTACTTCCGTTTTCCTCCCCTTTTCCTGGGTTTTCTAGATTACCTGAACCCAGTAAAGCCCCTGAATCCAGAGAAGATTGGTTTTCTTCCCGGAGGGTGTGGGATGGGGGGGAGGGACCACATAAGCATGTGTGTTTCCCACGTGTCTTTCCTGAGTGACAGGAGCGCTGACCTGAGTGGGCATCCTGGTTCTGCCAAGTCCTTGCAGTGACTCAGGACAGCATCACTTCCCTGTGCCTTGGTTTCTCCTTGGCCAGGAGGGGATCCTGACAGTGTCCACTGCAGAGGGCCGTCACAGTGGTCAGACGAGGGAACTCGTGTGTGTGATCTGGGTGCCCCGTGAGTGCTCTGGACGTGGGGCAGCCTGGGTGTGCTGCGGGCACCTGGCCAGGGCCGCCTGGCACTCTGCTCACCTCCCGCTCTGCCACTGGCGCCCGCAGCTCAGCTGCAGGCCTCACCCGGTGCTTTGCATCCTCAGGAGTGTCCGGATGCCGCCTCCCCTGCCCTGTCTCTGGCCGAACTGCGGACGGCGTGCGGCGACAGCGAGCTGGCTGCGGAGTTCACGAATGCCATCCGTCGGTAAGTGCCCAGCCCGCCACCCAGAAGGGTGGTTTCTTCCAGGGGTGACGGTGTATGCAGGGGTGACAGGGTAGGCCAGGTGATGGTGTATGCAGGGGTGACAGGGTAGTCCAGGGGTGATGGTGTAGGCCAGGGGTGATGGCTGGGGTTAGTTCTCCCAGCTGCTGACGCCACTCGCCAGGAGTATCACAGGTGCCTGGGAGAGAGGAGGCCCTGTACTGCCTTCTTGTGCAGGCCTGCAGGCCAGAAAGGTGAGTGCAAGAGGAAAGTATATATAGTCATCCCACCTGCAGAGAGAAAAAGGTCTGCTCCTTCGCCTTTCTGTTGCGGTGTGGCATTGGCTAGAACCTCAGGACTGTGTTAAAAGCTGACAGTCCAAACAGACGTCTTTGGTATCACTGGGATGGAATATTGCAGGTAAATTCTGTTGGCTCTTTCAGGAATTTTTAACAGTTTCTTTGGCTGCTTTATACATATAGCATATTCCTCAAATATAAAGATAATGAAGTTGATTAAAGAGAAAAAAAAAAACAAACAGGCATCCTTACCTTGTTTGCAGCTTCAATGAGAATGCCTGCCTCACCATCTCTGTCTTTGCACTCAGACGGCCTCTGTTTATTTACCTCCGGACGTTTTCCTCTATTGTGGCTGTTTCTCGCTGTCCTTTCTCTCTAGATCTGTCTTCCATATCCTGACTTTTCATCCTCTGCCCACCCTTTTGCACTCAGTTCTAGAGCAAGGATATCCGGCAGAAAAGTAATGCAAATCACACTGTAATGTTAAATGTACTAGGATCCATGTTTTATAAAAAAGAAACACATATAATCCACTTTAATAACGTATTTTATTTCACTCAGTGCATCCAAAATATTTCAAAATGTAAATCCATGTCTCTAAAAGATATTATTTCTTCTAATTTTTCTAATTCTTTTTTATTAAATTTTCTTCTAAATTGTTTTTTCTATTAAATTTTCAAAATCTACTGTGAATTTAGTACGTTTATACTTGTTGCACATCAGATTCCAACGAGCCAACGTGTCCAGCAGTCAGTAGCTCACGTGGCTGTGGCTGCCCTATGAAATAGTGTGGTTCTGAGGAGGTTGTTAAGGTCCACTTTCCAGCCCACTCCAGTGTTCTTGCCTGAAGAATCCCCATGGACAGAGGAGCCTGGTGGGCTACAGTCCCGGGGTTGCAAGAGTCAGACGCGACTGAGCGACTGAACAGCAAATGTAATCCTTAGCTGGAGCCACCATGGTGTTTGACCGATGCGTTGAGTTTATTTGGCTGATTAAATCTGTCATCTCTCTTGTAGTGATGTGACATCTTCTTGCGTCTCTCTGAGGACACTTATACTTAATATCTTGTCTACTGTACTGACTCTTTCCTCACAGGTGAGCTTTACAGTGAGTTTGGTGACTTGGCTCCGGCTCGTAAGCTCACCTTGCGTGCTTTCTGTCCCCCCCTGCTGACGGCAGGGCTCCAGGCCGCGTGTCTGATCCAGGTGTCTGGTCCCCTCCCGTTCTGATGGCTGGAGCACCCCTGAGTCCCCTTCTTCCCTTTGTAGCAGCTTGCTTCTGTGTGCATTTTGAGCTGTGGTTTCCTTTTTCAAGAATAAGACCTGCCTTTCCTTTTTTACGATTGCTCACGGTTTCTGACAAAGAATGCTCCTTAATTTCTATCATTCTTTAGAATTTTAAAAAAAAAATACATGTGCCATCACTTGGGAGGATTTGGAATGGAGGGGAAGGCTACGGTGCACGCTCAGGCTGCTGTCGGGGTCCAGCCGGGGCTCTTGATATTGTGTGGCCTCCGGCTGAGGGTGAACCGAACGCCGCCTTGCAGGGAACCTCACCACTCTCCTGACTGACTCGCTGCCACTTTTGGTCTTTCCTTCCAAGTTGTAATAGCTCAGTTTTTATACTGCCAGCGCTTCTGGCCATGTGGTTAATTGGTAATCACTTCGCTTGAGGAGGGAAGAGAGAAGCTGTGTGGAAAATGCCCTCCCCTAATCCTGATGACGTGATTGCACCAGAAACCAGGGACGCAAACCACCCCCTGCTTCCAACTGGGAGCCATTTGGATATTGTGTCTGTAAGCTAAACCCCTGCCTTTTTCAAAGATCCCGAACCTCAGAGGCCCTCGCTGGCACATGCAGGTTGCAGATTCTGCTGACTAAACATAAAGAGATTTCATTTGTTCTGTCAGTCACAATGGATTTCCAATAGCCAGCCTTGAGTTGGTTAGCATGGATTTCTAATCAAGCCCCAGATATATGGAGCCAAGAAAGAACCCACAGGGCTACAGGAAAAAGGAAAATAACATAATTATACTGTATACATAGCTTAGAAATGGGAATCATTATTTCATGAGGGCGTATAATACAGATGCCCAAGCACTGAGGTTTGGGGTGTTTTTCTTTTTAAAAGTCAAGTGGAAAAAAAAAAAGTCAAGTGGAAACTACCACCTTCCTTGAAGGTGTTAAATCACCGCCAAGCTAGTGGCTGAGTCAGTCGAGGGTTTCCTCCCAGAATTTTCAGACCTATTCCTTCTTTGGAAAAGGATGCTTCCAAACACCGAAGTCGTGGGCCCCAGGAACAGGACTGAAGAGAGCGGGTGGGCAGAGGGGCGGCAGAGGCTGTGTGTGCTGAGTTACAGCTCGGGTCCAACTCTTGTGGCCCCATGGACTGAAGCCCGCCAGGCTTCTCCGTCTGTGACTCTCCAGGCAAGAAGACTGCAGGGCTTACCATGCCCTCCTCCAGGGGACCTTCCTGACCCAGGGATCGAACCTGCATCTCTTGCATCTCCTGTGTTGGCAGGTGGGTTCTTTACCACTGGCGCACCTGTGGCGGAGGCTAGACGCGGGCTTTTCTGGCGGAAGCCCCAGGAAGGGCCTTGCAACGCTCCAGCCACTGCCTGGCTCCTGTTCTGCCCCAGCGGCTGCGGCCCCGCACCCAACCCTCTTCTGTCTGGAACAAAACCAGGCCTCCATGCAATCACACATTTACCACCTAACTTCCATCTGAGCTGATTTCATTCCCTCCACTTCCGTGAATACTTATGGTGGGATCATGGCTCCGGGCTTGCCATAAAACCCCATCTGGATAACCAGGTTTCCTGTCTTGCACATGAGGAGTTTTCTTATCGGGCCACCTTGTCTTCACTGTTGTCTGCACAGGCTGTGTGCTGCAAAGCCCTTCTCCACCCCAGATCCCTCTCTTGCTCACATTCCTAGTAAAATCTAACTGAACAGCCTTCCCACCAGAGAAGTAAGCTATGACAATGCAGCTCAGGAGAGGGAATTTTCAGAAAGGAGTCCTCTTGTACTTCTGTGGTATTTGTGTAGCCTACCTTGAGGACCCGGGCACAGCTGAGAAGAGCAGACTGTTTCTCCATCATGCTTAGGAAGCAGCAAGGAGGAGGTGGTGTCCCCCGTATGAGGTGGAGGAGCCAGGGGAGGGGAGACTGGACAGCAAGGCTGAGTGGTCAGGCAAGGTCACACAGCCAGGCCGCGAGGAAATCACACGCCACTGCTTTCTCCGCTGGACTCCATGTGCTGGCAGGGGGCTGCTTACCCACTGAGTGTGAGCCGAGCCTGCTCGTGGGCTTCTTCCCTGTCTATAAAATTTATTTCTTGATTCTTTTGTGCCCTGAAAGTGAGAGCCGCTCAGTCATGTCCGACTCTTTGTGACCCCATGGACTATACAGTCCATGGAATTCTTTGGGCCAGAATACTGAGAAATATCAATAACCTCAGATATGCAGATGACACCACCCTTATGGCAGAAAGCAAAGAACTAAAGAGCCTCTTGATGAAAGTGAAAGAGGAGAGNACTGAACTGAGCCTTTCCCTTCTCCAGAGGATCTTCCCAACCCAGGGATTGAACCCAGGTCTCCCTCATTGCAGGTGGATTCTTTACCAGCTGAGCCACAAGGGAAGCCCAAGAATACTGGGCAGCCTATCCCTTCTCCAGCGGATCTTCCCAACCCAAGAATCTAACTGGGGTCTCCTGCATTGCAGGCGGATTCTTTGAATACATCATTGCTCTGTTTCTTATAAGCCTGCCTCTCCTTCCCTCAATTCCCTGGTAGCTCAGACAGTACAGAACCCACCGGCAATGCAGGAGACCCATGTTCAACCCATCGGTCAGGAAGATTCCCTGGAAGAAGGCACAGCAATCCACTCCAATATTCTTGCCTGGCGGGCTAGAGTCCATAGGGTCATAAAGATTCAGACCTGACTGAGGGACTGACACTTTCACTTTCTCCTTCCCTCCTCCAATCCCTGCAGGAGACCCAACGGCAGGGGAGGTGGGGCGGGGGGGCGGCAGGGCAAGGGGTGCAGGAAGCATGGCTGACTCACCCAGCTGTATGACTGGTGACTCTGTCCCTTCTAAGTGATCCCTAAACTATCCCAGCCTCATTTCTCTCTGCCCACTGGACATCTCCCCTGAAGAGACTCCAGCCTTAAAACACAGCATGTCCAAAACAGAAATTATCATCTTGTTTCCACCTGCCCTTTGAAATTGGCCTCTTTTTCAGAATTCCTATTTATATGTAAAAACTTAGAAGTCTGCCTCTTGTTAGCAGATAGTATTTTTTTACCCCTTAAAACCCCATCTGTCCCATGCAGTTTGTGTTGCCTTCTCCTGAATTTAGCCCTCAACCCCTCCAAACTCAGAGTAGCATCTCAATGGGTCATTCTGCCATTAGTCCCATCCTGTGTTCCCCCACCAAAAAACACCTTAAATCATACTTCTGATCAGGTGACTCTGCAGATAGATCTTCCATGGTATGACCTTCATCATCATGTGTAGGTCCCTAACTTAAGTTCTTAGCCTGTATTTCAAATGTTTCCCTACACATTATCTGTGGTCCAGATTCATCCAGATGGTTCATCTTTCCATGAGCATGCCCTTTGCTTTATGCCCCTACCCCACCCCATCTCTCTCAAGCTGTGAACCCTTCCTTCTTATCCCTCCAGTTGGACACTCGTCTTCCTG